AATCTGAAGAAGAGAAAGGTAAAAATCTTGTTTAAAACATGCATTCTTAGAAAAATACTTTTGCATTCAAATACAATGTATTCACATTGGTTTAAAATAGTTTTGAAGATATATATTATACCATATTATACCATTTCTTTTTTTCAAATAATTTTTTTATACAAAAAGGAAAAGAAAAAAAACTGAAATTACTTTAAAAATGAAAAAAAAAAAAATTTAAATATATTTTTCAAGGTAATTAATTATTTAATTCATAATAGCTATGTTTTTAGGGAGTCACATCACATGACATTTTACAACCTCCTCTATGACATAATTTTTTGTTTATAATGTTTTTATGTTTTTTTAAACAAATCTTAATGCAATTAATAAAGAATGACCCTTCCATGTTTACATTGTTTTGAGAGCTAATGAAAATAAAGGAAGACATACATGTTTGGTGCTGTCTGAGATTTGCTGTTCAATCTGTTATTGCTGCTTATACATATAGTTTCCAAATAGTGTAGCCTTTTATGTGGTTGATATTTGAATTTATGAGCTGCCTGCGACCTGCGAAATAGTTGATAGGAAAATAACTGGTTAACGCTCACGCCAGACACTTTTGCTACTGACAGTCATGTCAAACAGAGATGTTTTGGGAAAGTCTAATTTCTATTGTTTTCGCTGTGATGATTTCATCTAGTCTCAGACTTGAATCAGCCTGATTGACTTCTGTCACTTGTAAAGACTCGACAGTTAGCAAAAGAAGCATTTTTGTGTTTATATATATCCCATATAATGAAGCAAAGGAATTTTATAGAAAATAAGTTCAGTCCTCTTGCAGACTCACGTTGGAGATATAGTACCATGGAATGATACCAGCATTGATTATTAGCTTTCTCAAAAATTCAAAATATCCCCCAGTTCCAAAGAATACATGAAATGTTAATAGGAATGCACTCCATCACTTCACGTCTTTTCTGGCAGGGGGGCTTATATACACAATCTGGGAGAAAGTTGAATGGAAAGAATATGACTGCTCTTGGATCCAAAAAGAGATTTATGATCAGTGCTTCCCACCAAAGTCCTCATGTATGTCAGACAGCTACAATGACGCTTAGTCATGGCAAAGAGAGATGAACGGCATCTGCCAGAATGCCTGGTTTTTGCTGAGAATTGAAGCTTCACACCAGAGGGTGAAGTGGACTTGTCCCTTCCAAGAAGACATCGTTGCTGGAGAGCAGGGGTTGAGTGGTGGTGCTGTGACTGCCGACTGAGTTTAGCTGCTGGACGTGAGAACTGGACTCCTCACGGGACCCCGGTGCCACAGGCAACCTGGAACTGAAGTTTAAGTAAATCTGAAGAAGAGAAAGGTAAAAATCTTGTTTAAAACATGCATTCTTAGAAAAATACTTTGTATTCACATTGGTTTAAAATAGTTTTGAAGATATATATTATACCATATTATACCATTTCTTTTTTTCAAATAATTTTTTTATACAAAAAGGAAAAGAAAAAAAACTGAAATTACTTTAAAAATGAAAAAAAAAAAAAATTAAATATATTTTTCAAGGTAATTATTTAATTCATAATAGCTATGTTTTTAGGGAGTCACATCACATGACATTTTACAACCTCCTCTATGATATAATTTTTTGTTTATAATGTTTTTATGTTTTTTTAAACAAATCTTAATGCAATTAATAAAGAATGACCCTTCCATGTTTACATTGTTTTGAGAGCTAATGAAAATAAAGGAAGACATACATGTTTGGTGCTGTCTGAGATTTGCTGTTCAATCTTCTCCACTATCTTGCTAAATGAAGGTCTTTTAAAGGGGTCGGCATCCCAGCATGAGTGCATGATCTCGTACCTGAAACACAAAAACACAGAGGCGCTGGTGTTATTGGGAACAGTGTTGTAGGGTGTGTAAATGGTAAATTATGCCATTATCTTGACGTTTTTTTTTGTTTGTTTTTTTTTCCCGCAGAAAGAAATGTAACTAATTACAGCTCAGACTTACATTTCACTCGGGGCAAACTCCGGTGACTCCATTCGGAATCCTTCCTTGATCATCTTATAGAATTTAGAGTCCACAGGCATACCCGGGTAAGGACTACTCCCTACAGAAGCAGAGTGTCAGTATTTAGATTCAAAACAGTATATCATACCAAGTCAATATAATTATGAGATAGGTTTAACTCACCGAGAGAGAAGATCTCCCATAGCAGGATACCATAAGACCAGACATCACTCTCAAAAGTGTACACGCACTCAAAGATGCTCTCGGGGGACATCCACTTCACCGGGAGACGAGCCTGCACAGAGAAGGGCCTCATTACAAACATTTCTTCCTTAACAACACAGGCAGAGCATGAAAGCACATAGTACAAACCACATTTCTTGAAGGATTCAGTCTGTGACTTGCATATAAATCATTTGCCATCAAAACATGCATTTGGAAACCTCAGTCATACAGTTTTGTATCAATTTTGACATTACCTTACTTACTTAACTTAATTTTAAATATAAATATACAAAAAGAATACTGACTTAAAGACTATAGACCAAGTTTGTCATGACTGTTTGTTGCTTTGGGCTTCTTTTAGATCATTAAAACGGGATGCAAATGAAGTATCTGTAGTAGAAGCCAGAAATAGCATTCTGCTTAATGCAAAATTTAGTTTATTTATTTATTTGTTTTATGACATTTCGGCCTTTATTGAGATAGGATAATATAAAACTGACAGGAAGTGAAGTGGGAGAGTGATAGGGAGGCGTGATCAGGAAAGGTCAAACACAGGTCGCAACCACGCTACATGGAGCGCTGCCCACAAGGCTATCAGCTCTGCTTTATGCAAATTCTTGAAAATAAATCAACTGTCTTAAAACTGCAAAAATCGTCTCATTCATGACTTGTTTTGCATCAACCTCTTGCCAATGTATAACATTTGGGTAATTCATATCTGGTACATGTCTCAACATGGATAAAAGCTCTTGTATTATAAAGTTATCATTGTCATTTTGCATTAAGGTGGGATTTTCTTTGCAGAAAGCTGTTGGAATAAACCCCATCCAACACACACAGTATGCATTAAAGAAGCATGCTTGCTTGTCTATTTACTTGTAAAACCTGGTGGGAAAATCTACAAATAAAATAAATGTTAAATTTTTTTATGTCACATGTAATGACAGTTAATACTTACATTGCCCTTAACAACATAGTTTGAGTCAGTAGTGATGTCCCGGGCTAGTCCAAAATCACAGATCTTGGCCACTCGGCCTTGGGTGAGGAGAATGTTTCTGGCTGCCAGGTCTCTGTGAATACACTGCATAGACACACATGCAGAACTACAGGTCAACATACACACTAATATATTATGTATTAAAGCAAACGCTGTAGGAATGGACTACTTGTTTTTAGCGTGATGTGAGCTAAAGAAGCTCAGACTGTATTGCTCATTTAAAAAATGTAATTGAAACGTAATGTTGACAGCTTTTGAGATTATGGCCTTTCGCAATTCAAGCAGATAGAAGCTGTACTTGTATGCATGCAACCTGCATAGGAATGAGTGGCCTAGAGGCATTACTGAAATGACCACAGAGGGGACTGACTTGTCTTAAAAGTTGTGCTTAAAATTGCTCTTATGTGTCAGGACTGTCAAAACTGTCAGGTATTTACAATAACCATGCCAATATTCAAAACCTCATTAGCAAAGAAGTGTTCCAAGTTAGCATAGAGGTGCTGAAATGAATTCACTGACAGAAAACTCACCTGCTCAACAGTGTGACTAATCTAGTGTCCTTCCCCTAAACTGAATACTGGACCTGCTGACCATGTGGGGAAATGTGATATTTCTCAGCATGATCCTCAATGAATGAGTGTGTGCATGTGCTTGACAACATGTATGCGTTTGTGTGACCTTGTGTAACCCGATCCTTGACTCGACAGAGGTAATGGAATGTTAAGTCTGTGGCATTGTTGAGGAAGAGTGAGAAGATCTGCAGTATGGGGTTACTGCAAACACTCTGAATATAAAACTCTGTATCCGTCAGAGAGACAGAACGCAAACAAATGAGAAAAACACTTGCGTTCTTGGATGCCAAGAAATCCATCCCTTTGGCTACTTGGTAGGAGAAGCTAAGAAGATCCTCAGTATCCAGAGTCATGCCATCTTCATGCAGAATCTCACTAACGGCATCCGAATCGCTGTATGAATCACCTAAAGGGATGACAAATTCATTTAAGAAGACGATAAAGACAAAATGAGACAAAAAGCCAACAGACAAGAAGAGACAACAAAAGAAAAGGGAAAGAGAATAAATGAGACAAGAAGACAACAGACAAGATGAGACAGAAGAGACAAGATGAGAAAAGAGAAGGCATGAGAAGAGATGAGAAAAGATGGGATGCGGACAGGAAAGACAAGATGAGACAAATAGAGATGAGGTGAGACAGAAGAGACAAGAAGAGAAGGCATGACAAGAGATGAGAACAGGAAAGACAAGGGCAGACAAGACTAGAAAAGAAGGCAAAACGAGAAGAGGAGATGAAATAAGAAGAGTTGAGCCGAGATAACAGAACAGATGAGAAGAGACGAGAAGAAGACAACAGACAAGAAGAGAGAAAGGAAGGAGACAAGAAGAGACAAGACAATATGAGACAAAAAGAGATACGACAAAGGCAGAAAAAAACAGACAAGATGAGAAGATGAAGATAAGACACGAGAAGAGATGAGACAAGAACAGGAAAGACAAAATGAGACAAAAAGAAACGAGATGAGACAGAAAAGACAAGTTGAGAAGATAAGAAAAGATAAGGCATGAGAAAAAATGAGACAAGGTGAGATGAGAAGAGATAAGACAAGAACAGGAAAAAATAAGGGCAGACAAGAGAAGAGAAGAGAAGAGAAGAGAAGAGAAAAAGACTGGGTGACACAAGAAGAGACAAGATGACAGGATAAGAGATGACAAGAGAACAGACAAGAAAAGAGACAAGACATTGATCCAACCTTTATTAAGTGATCTTCGGTTTTCTGAGGACAGAATTCCCATTACAGAGGGCTTCATGGTCACGTATCCATTCCTGCTCTCACTGTAATCAAATACAAACTTGTTTTGGTGAACCCACAAGCACTTCAAACTATCACACTTCACCAGTTGCATTGATCATACTTACTTAGGTTCTGGCTGCAGCATGACGTTTCTATAGTAGGAGTCTTCTCCCAGTGTAGTGTAGTAGAAGGATTCTCTCCTTCTGCGCAGGAAGTTCAACAGGTCACCAAAACAGCAGTACTCCGTTATAACTAGAGTTGGACCTGTGCAATAGACCAGACCAGTAATGAAGAACAATACAATACACAGAAAAACCTAGAAAAACAATATTTAGCTTTAGCCTCTTACCTCCAATAGTGCAGGCCCCTAGTAGGTTGACAATGTTAATATGGTTGCCAAGATAACTAAGCACCTTCAGCTCTGACATCAGAGCCTCTTTCTCAGTGGCATGGGCACTTGCTGTGGGGCAAAACACCACAACAAATAAAAGCATAAAAAAACAGAATGTTCTCCTAATGTTTAGTGTAGGTTCCCATTTGGTTATTGCTTTGGAAAACAATTTTAAACATTACATGAATGTTTTGGTTTGATTCTCAGAATGTTCTGGGAACCAAAAATTGTGGGTTACTGAAAATGTTTAACCTCCTTCTCATCACGCAGGTTTGTTTACTTTCTGGTGTGTCTTTACGCACCGCCTTATTTGCTTAAATAAACATGCTAGTTAAATGCCATGGTGTTACTATGCTACTCATATTTCACAAGATTATGAACATGTTTTCTGGTGCTTTTCACTCACGTTTGAGCATCTTCACAGCTACGGTCATCACAGTGTCTGCTTTGGACATCCCATATGCAGTGGCCTCCACCACCTTCCCAAATGCTCCAGATCCGAGAGTTTTTCCTGGGAACGCAGGGAAGCAAAACCGATTCAGAAAATTGACACAGCATCAATTTCACTTTTCCCTCATACAGTTGTTAACAGTCAGTCAATGCGCCTGGAAACTGATCCGAAACCAGCTTTTAGCTTGAACATCGACTTGCTTTTAAATCAAGGAGGTGTGGCTTGTGGGGAAGCGGGATATGCAAGATCCTGTTAGATCCTGTTTGTTGACGGATATGGCTGTTCCTTTATGGGGAAGATATGATTTTATGTCACAAGGCACCAGTTATCAAGTGTCACAAACCGTGTAACTGCCAATGAAAAGAAGCAAGCGTTGTAAAATCCAAAAGGCCTTTATGCTTTCTGGTGCAATAAACCTTGTAAACCTTTCCAAACCTAATGTTTAAACATAAGAAATGTCGAAAAATTATTTGGAATATGATTTATGAAGTTCGACAAGCCAAAGCAGACAGATTCAGGAACTTAACTCACCAAAACGCAGCTTATCTCTGGGAAACTCCCACAGGTGGTCATATGGAAGCTGGGTGGGGTCAATATACACATAGCTATTTCCATGGATACCTTCTATGACTTTCCACTGTATTTGGTATTTAGGTTTCTGTAGGAGACAGAAATAAACAATGAGCGAAGTTTCCAGACAAACAAAACAACCTTTTACATTAGATCCAGTTACTGCAAGTGTATGTGCTCTCATAGAAAAAAGTAAACAGAGTCCACTAATAACATTGTCATGTAAACGGACATAAATTATTCAAACAACAATGTGAAAAGTAATTTCATGTGTGTGCGTGTATGTATCACTGATCGCTCCCATGTGCAACAGTGCAAAACTGCGTGGTGAAACATCAGGTCTTATGACATGTTAAGTAAATAATTTCCTTGAGTGTGTATTGTTTCAAAGTTCCCCTGAAGTGTGGGAGGGATTCCAGGTGTGACAGGTCAATTGCGTTGAGTATCACGTTTAATATCAAATAACGTACTAGAATAACAATACGTTACAATCTTTTATTGCTATAATAGGGTAAGGAGTTCAATTTTGTGTAATTAATGAATTAGCTCAGTGAGTCAGCATGCAATTTCTGTACTGGAAGACAAGCTATGAAATGAATGACACTTTACCTGCATGTACTTGTAGGACAGCACAATCAGGATGAGAACAAGGATAACAGCCGCAGCAACAAAACCGATGAGCAACGGCGTGAAAAGTTCATGAGGAACAGTGTTCTCTGAGAAGATTAAATTAACATACAGTTGCCATCAGAAACATGCAGAACATGACATACTGTATGTACTCAACAACAGCAAACAAGAAATGTGTTCCTTTTGATCTAGGGATACATTGATATTAAAATTCTGGCCTATATGATTATTTTTCATGTTATTGCCAATAAACAATATATTCCAGACACTATACTAAAAATAATTAAACTACACTAAAAATAATTAAATATTAAATGAAATATTAAAAATGCTGAAAACTGATATGGTGTCAATATATTGTGCATCCCTGTTTTTAAATCATAATGGATATAATTTACCATTAATTGTATTGTTTCAATTAATATTAATTACATTAATGATATAATATATTTGAATGCAATTTATATTGCATTCAAATATAAATTGAATGCAATATAAACAAATAGCTAAAAGCTAAATAGCTAAAAGATATCCATTATGAGTTAAAAGTAGGGATGCACAATATATTAATTACTGATATTATTACATTTATATATATTTTTATTACAATTATTACAATACAGTTACATTAATAATATATTAAATAGCATATATATATCTATCTATATATATCTATATATATATATATATATATATTGAAGTAAAACCAGTGTTTAGAATGTCTAAAAAACAATACACAAGCATAAAAGAACACGCAGTAATAATAAATAAGTGTCTCACAGTGGGGTTATGTCATAATTGCTTGTATTTCATGAGGTGTGAATAATCCTCACTGATGCATTGAGGTCAAACTCTCTACTAAAGATTTTGTGACTCGCTTTTTTCACATTTTCAAAGTGTAGCTGTGTTGTTTTTGTAAGGTGTGTGTATGTGTTCATGCGTGGTGTGTTATTGTTTTTCTGCGTTGTTCTGAGCGGTGAAGCAAGCTCTTAAGCTATAAGAGGCTTTCTCTCCATTTCAAATCAAAGAATGCAGACTCTGCAGGAAGTAATCCCTTGTAAACCTGCCACTGGCTTTCACAGTCCTCTTCTGCTCCCTCCCTCTGTCTCTCTCTCTCTCTCTCGCCCTCCATCCTTCCCCGTCCATCCATCTATCATCGCACTGCATCCAAGCATCAAGCCCCTCATAAATCAACAAATCTTAACAATGGACATTTTTTTGCATCTCGCTCAGCTGAGGGTGAACAGCTTTAACGGTCTAGCCTAAGGCTCATCATCCCACTGGTTTTCCTGGACCTATTGCAGTCAACCTTGAGAATCTAAACAAGTTCCCACATCACCTAACAGGCTTTCCTGAGGCAGCGGATTCAATCCACACTCTCAAAACCTGCAATCCAACTCCTGATGGACTCTACAAAAAGGTCAACGTTCAGGGAGAATTTTTATTACTTAAGGCTAATTTAGTTGAGAAAATGCAAAAAACAGGCAATGCAGTCAACAACTTGCACCAAAAACCCAATGAGGATAAAATGAATGTACCAGAAACAAACTAAACTGGATGTGGATGACCTTTTGTTAACCATTCTGTCCTCAAAAATAATACCAGTATTAACTGGGGTGGAAAGATGGTGTTTTGCAACAAACCAAAACGAAACCCCCCCCTAAACCCGGGAGATAATCCCCAACAGTTGGTAATGTTAGGTTTACAAAAGAAACAAGATTAGGGCTAAAACTCAGCACCTCTGTTTATATAATAGTCTGCTGTTATCTCGTCTTATTCAAAAAGTCTGCCTACACAGGTTGAGCTGAAGCAGGAGTGGCGAACTGCAAGTTGGCAGCTGGTTTATATTTTCTCAAAAAGATGCAGCCAGTAGAAAAAGCACAGCTGGAGCGAACGTGAGGAGATGCGTTTCCTCTTGTTTGGTTGTTTAACTATTCCTGGGAAACTAGAAGCACCTGGGTCGAGGTCTCTTCCTGGTTTTCTATGATGTGCATAAGATGAACTGACTGATTTTGACTCGAGGTCAAAATTCTTCATCTTCGTTGTAGCTGTACAGTGCCATTTCGAAAATTGCACTATATCCTGCATTTTAAGTATATATATATTTTTTAAGTCTCACCAAGGCAGCACTATTTGTTCAAAATATAGTAAAAACAATAATGCTGTAAAATTGCATTACAATTTAAAATAACTTTTGTTTGTTTTAATATATTTTATATGTAATTCATTCCTGATGCAAAGCTGAATTTTCAGCATCATTACTCCAGTCTTCAGTGTCACATGATCCTTCAGAAATCATTATAATATGCTGATTTGCTGCTCAAGAAACATTTATTTTTATTTCCAATGTTGAAAACAGTTGTGCTTAGTAATTTTTAGTGGATAACATGATACATACAGGATTATTTGATGAATAGAAAGTTCAAAAGAACAGCATTTATTTGAAATAGAAGTTTATGTAATATTAAAAATGTCTTTACTCTCACTTTTGATCAATTTAATGCGTTCTTGCTGAATAAACGTACCAATTAATAAAAATAAAAAAAAAATCTTACTGACCCCATACTTTTAAATGTTAGTCTATCTATATAATGGCAGATATTATTGCATTTGTTCCAATACATGAAATGCCCATAATGTAAATATTGGCATTTCACTGCAAAACTCAGTGCAAAACTGTTGCTCCACTTTGATTAGAAATGAAACAATCTTTTTTAAAAACAGAAAATAGGACTGTAATGCAGTTCGTAGTTATGGGAAGAAGGAGGTGGGAACCGGCAAACATTCGAAAACTTTAATTATCAAATAAACGAACACAAAACGGAAAGTAAAGGTGGCAGCCCCTCACGGATGACTGCCACACAAACAAAAACAAAATACAACAAATTTTAGGCCCGGTCCGGTCAGGCCCCTCTCTCGTCACTCCTCCTATTATCCTTCTGGAGCTCCTCAGTGGGACTCGAGACTGGAGTGGCGCACAGGTGATGCTCATTATCACTCG